GGATCTGGGTCCTGAAGAACCTAGATAACCAAGAATCCTAAGTTTTACCTAGATCTAGATTAGCTTGGTCCACTTGGTAGCTACGATTTCTAGGCAGGTTTATGCCAGGAGCATCTGAACTCTCGAGGACCTAGATAAACAAGAGTTCTAAGTTTCGAATTAGTCTAGGTTAGCTCGGTCCATGTAGTGCACTTGGTAGATCCTCAGCTCTGGAATTCGTGTTCCACGTTCTTCCCAGCCTTGACCGATAAAACCTCTCCCGCCTTCGCTAAGCTTCTCCCTCACCTCGTTGATAAACTGTCCCACCTAATCATCACTGTCTTCTGTTTACAGCACTCGAACAACGTACGCAAGTCTGCGGCGGAATACGTGGCGCGTCGCCAGGCGCGCAAGATCTCGATGACACGTTCGATAACCTCGTCGCTGGCGTTGCCGATGAGCCAGCTGAGCGACGTGGCCTTCCTGCCCAACGCGAAGGCCGGCACCTTCTTCGCCCGCGACAACGTCTCGAATTTCATCGGCTGGTGCCGCAACAGCCTGGGCATCATCGAGTGCCTGTTGTTCGAGACCGACGACCTGATAATGCGCAAGAACGAGCGTCACGTCATACTCTGCCTGCTCGAGGTGGCCAGGAGGGGAGCGAAATTCGGCATGCTGGCGCCGATGCTCGTCCAGATGGAGAGGCAAATCGACAGGGAGATCGCCGCCGAGAACAAGGCGGCGAATGGCGCCCACGGGAATGGCGGGAACGAAGAGAGCGACGACGAGTACGCGGACATGCAACAGGAAGAGCCGTGCCTCATATACGGGCCCCAGCCACAGATCGTCACCAACGACTTGAAGAGCCTCGACGAAATGGTGAGTCCTGCGTATCTTATTAGTCTGTCGTTAAGAATCGATAATGTAGAATGATCTGCCGATAACGCAGCTCTCTTTACCGGTAACGTAGAGAGCCTTTCGGTAAGACTCGGTAACGTAGAGCTCTTGATACGTTGTTTTGCAGGTTATGCAGTGCACGCTGTCGATAAAACTCAGTAATGTAGATTAGTTAATCGATAAAGTAGGTGGTTCCGCAGGCAGTGCAGAGCACGTTGTCGATAAAACTCGGTAATGTAGATCAGTTAATCGATAAAGAATCGGTAATGCAGAATCATCTGTCGATACTGTAGGCCTCCCTATTGGTAATGTAGAGTATCCAACGATAAGACTCGGTAATGTAGAGCTCTTGACCGATAAGGTAGGTCGCTTTGCAGGCAATGCAGCGTATACTGTCGATAAAGATAGTTTTCAAAGAGATTCTGGACCCAGCACGCGCGAACTGAAGCAGTAAACGGTCCGATTTAAAAACCACGCCTAGTTTCTTACCCACGTTCATGTCCCTGTTCCGTGGACCTCATTAAACTTGTTAATTCCACGCCTAGCATCGAAAGCAGTATTTTTTCGGAGCATCCGCCACAATGTGCTATGAAAATAACTCGCGCCCTTAGGTGTATCCGAGCGTATTTATGGCGCTACTCCCCGCTGGCCGTGAATATCACGAGATCAGGAATAAGAGAGTAGTCATTCGTATTTCAGTGTTGAAAGGCGAAAGAAGCACTCCTGATAAACGTATTCACCTCCGCGGCGTTAATAATTCCCGTTCCATAATTCATGTTTATCGCCGGCCACATACGGGCAACGTCTAACCGGCTGGCTTTTTCTTATTTATTAATCAACAACGAATAAATTTATTTACTACGAACGGAAACGGCCATGCAGGTGCAAACACGCCTTCATATTTATGAATACGAATTAATTCCTTTCAACCGAGGCAGTGATTTACTTCGCTTTTAGACGTTGCTGAAGCTTCGAGTCCAAAAACCTGACAATGACCAACCTCCGGTGGTAAAAAATCTCAAAACTGGCAAATCTCCAGTGTTCCGATCCTCCTAATCTACAAGGCCCGGTGTAACGGTGTTAAAATCGAAAAACCGACGGCGCATGCGATGGAACGAATTAACGAGCGTACCTTGTCGCTTTCGAATGCACGGGTGCCTTTCAGTCGCGTCAAAGCGGCCAGACGCCGTTAGTTCCGCGCTGAAACCTTCGAAAGCACAATTTTTATTTTCCACGGCGGCTGCCTCGACACGTGTAGAACGACGATCCACGCGCGAGCGTGGCATTTCACGACGCAGAAATTCTCTTCTCGGGGTATATACGCCGGAGCGACGTTATCGTCGATGTATTCAAGAATTCCAGGACATTTTCCCTTGGCGAGATTCCGAACGCACCGGTGAACGTGGTACACGCGACCGTTGCATAGATAAATCTCGCGTGCACCTACGCTGAGCCAGTCGGGAGCAGTCATTGACTGGCTGGAGACATTCACTGATACTTTTCGCGAAATCAGAATCGGTCGCTTGGCGCTCTGGAATCCGGAGTCTGGATACGCTCCGGAGCTTGGAAATTGTAAGTCGGGTGGAAATTCTCAGGGATTTTATTAGACGATCTTAGTTAGTTTGGAGACTAAGTGTCCTAACGTAGACTATAAGAAGGCAACTATCCATGTCGGAACACATCCCCTGCGCTCTATTGGCCTAGTTCATGCCGCATTAGCTCTACTAATGCATACCCCAGAGTTTAGCTATAGAACCTTGTCGATTAAAAGTTCCATCGTGATCTTATTCCCGAGTTCCAGCCACTGGTGTGACCTGGTGACCCTTTTCCCAGACTTGGGTGGTATAACCGATTCCACGGAAACGATTGAAACTAATTATATCCACGGGCTCCGAGAAGTGGACGTCTAGAGCCGACAGAGAGATCAATAGTTGCTGTACATCCCTGCCACGTGGTGGAAAGGCCATTGCAAGCTGTGATGATAAGAAAGCATAGCTGTGAAAGAGAGACTTCTGTGACTCATAGGAAGCAACCATGAACGCTAGGCCCACCACGCATCCTAACCTCCACGGATTATCAACTATGGTCTTCATTCAACAATTGTCTTCACCTAACTTTCACTGATCAAGGAGCGAACCTAATCCTGCCCCTGAGACCTGGCGATACCCCATTTGTGGCCAACCTCTGACCTTCACCCAAGCTTATCGCTAATCCCCGCCACGAGACGACAGCTTCGTAGAATAGATACTAAGACAATTCCCACGTAACGAACTATTTACGATTCGTGGCAATCCGAGACCCGATCGATTCGAATCGGTCAAACGAGCAATTACGCCTGTCCAGCCCACGATCGCGTTACCAACGCCAATGCGTAACATTTAGCGAGTGATTTAGTGCTCATTATCCATTTAGAGGCTGGAAACCACCGGAGACACGTGTACCCGTTCGCCAAACACTTTTTGCCGCGTGTCATGCTAATACGATTTACGAGTCGCACGCGAAACGACCGCTCCGGAAGAGAGTCGTCAAGGCAGCGTTTAAACCGTCGTTTCTCTTGCACTCGCTGATGTTTAGACGGCTTTTCCAGGAGTCCGGGACCATCCGGGGGAAGTGCTCGCGTCACGGAGCTGTTGTCAGTATTTAGATGGGATAAGAAGCTCAAGGGTTCAAATACATTGCGGAGAAAGACTATACCACCACTTATGTTCTTAAACTTTTTGGATTTTTTAGTTGGTTGAAATACGTTGGACCAAGGAACTAACCACTGGGACTGGTCATCATCAGCTTTTTGGTTTCGAACAATTTCCTAACTTCTGCCAGTTTCGATTTTAGGAGGGTTGGAATACTAGAGGTTTGCCAGTTTCAGGTTTGAGATTTTTCGATGAGGTCAGTTTAGTGTAATTCAGACTTCTAGTGGAGGCTGGTCGTCATCGGCTCTTTGGTCTTCAACAATCTTCCAACTCTTGCTAATTCCAAGAATTGCTAATATTTGCAAATTAGATCAAAGCCATTCCACCAATCCTACTCCTGTTCAATCCCCTGTCTCAAACCAAAGAGCCCCAACCAAAAACCAAAGACAGAAGGTCGATGTAAAGCTCTTGCTACTTCCAAAAATTGCAAATTTTCCCAAAAATTAGAAAACAGTAATTCTTTAACCCTTCCTCTATTCAAACCCCTGCCTCAAACCAAAGAGCCCCAACCAAAAACCAAAGACAGAAGGTCGATGTAAAGCTCTTGCTACTTCCAAAAATTGCAAATTTTCCCAAAAATTAGAAAACAGTAATTTCATAACCCTTTCCCTGTTCAACCCCCTGCCTCAAAGATCCCTGGACCAAATACCGAATAAAGAAGGTGGAGATAAGGCTCGAAAGGTCTCGGTACTTCTATTGTGGCGTGTCCCCAGCAAGTCGAACAAACGTTTTCCTCCACAAAACCGAGCCCCGTTACGGCGTGGTGTCGGGCATCTCGGCGCCAGTATTTCATCCGCGTGAATTCCTGCGAGTGTGTATCAGCGGATTGCTCGTCTCGTTCCGCAGCCAGTAAGGCTCGGCTATATTCGCGAGTGGGTAAATCCCCGGGATGCCTGTGCGTGTTTTAAAGAGCATACCGCGGATAGCTGCACAAAAGATGGGAGGAAATGGGACAGCTTTGTTATTTTAATCCTGCCGCCCGATTGCGGCTGGTATCTACGAGAAAACTCGTGCGTTTTTCCTCGTCCGTGGGAAAAACTTATCGAGGCTGGGATGCTACGCGCGCTGAGAAAGCATCCGACCGGAAAGAAACTTTCACGTATCGTCGGTATCATTCAAAATAAAACACTCGTGAGATAGGACCGTCGGCTACTGGGACTTTGTTCCCTCCGAGTCATACTTGTTCGATGTATTATTATCGTCGGATCGAGGGATCAATCCATTAGCACATGACGGGTTCATTATCGATTTCATTGGTAGCTACGAATATCTACATATCGCGGGCTTTAGATACCAGGTGGCTTTGATCACTTCAGTGGAATTAGGTGCAATGACTCAGTTTGGGAAGACGAGTGTGAGGACGTGACTACTACTAGAAATGGGGCATGATATGACCTATTTTGAAGGAAATGTATAGTTTCATAGTTCTATAGTTCTATAGTTCTATAGTTCTATAGTTCTATAGTTCTATAGTTGCATAGCACAACAGTAGAATAATACAGTAGCATATCAATACGGTACAGTAGCACAGTAACAACAGTACAGTACTATATACACAAAATAATTTAGTAGCATAATAGTATAGTGGCGCAGCGTAATAGTATCTCCGAATCGGTGTTGAAGCCGCGAAATGTCGAGCCTGCGTCGAAAAGCGCGCACCGCGCCTCCGTAACGTTCGTCGTTCCCATTAAACCAAGTCGCGTCCGCGATCACACGGTTGTTTAGCGAATTTGCATTTAGGGAGAGAATGCCACGCGTTGCGGGAAACGGTTTCTTATGGACGGGGAGGATCATATACGGAATCGCAGCTGCGTTCAGAACGTCCAGCCGGCAGCGATTTATCCGCGGCACGATTGCGTATGAATACAAACAGGCGAGCACCGCGCGGTGGCAGTGTCACAGCGTTCCATAAAGGGCAGAACGAAAGGGAAATCTGCACAGGTCGATCGGTTCCGCGGCGAACTTCCAACGGTCCACGTGTTTCTGTTTCCCCTAGTGGGAGTCGTGTATGGGTAATTAAATTCAGTGTCGCGGGTCATAGACGTCCCGTAAACGTTTGTTTCGTTTTTTTTTCCCTCTTTTTTTTTTCTTTTAGATAATTGTAGAGGGGATCGGTGGATAAGGAGACTTGGATACGTTTGGTTATACGTTGAAGTGAGCATTGACCACTGTGGTGACCTCTTGTATATAATTGTTTTTTCTTTTTTTTGGATCTTCTCGAAAGTATTGTCATTGGATCGATGATGTTCTCTCGTTTAAAATGAGTACAAGCAAGGCCACATTCAGAGAATT